GTCTCAAAATTTACAGCACCTCACCACACAAGCTCCCTGGAATGTTTGGTTACAGCACTAGTCCTCTTAAGGTGTCCCCAAAAGGACAATTCCAAAGATCAATTCCCATTTCCAATACAATGCCAGAATACAAATGACATGATTTCTGTCTTCTCTGGCTGAAATAAACCTTGTAAAAGGGAACTCATTCACATAAAATGTACCCCACATTCAGGTTTTCAACTTCAATGAGTAGCAGTGGTGCTCTGTGGTTACCATAGTGACTCTATACCCTGGTGTTGTCGTAATTCTCCCATTGCCTCTCTGTGGAGTTGCACCTCTTCACTGGACATTAGCAACATGAATAAGTTGAACAAGAAGAAAAAACAGACGCACAAAGTCTAATTAATTAATTGCTCTTCCCTTTTTTCAGAAATGGAGAGAAAATATTGTTATACAGTTTAGCATATCTGGATCCCCTCCAGGTTGGAGACCTGTCAGAGACACATTCACCTCTTTTCCTCTGGCCTTTCTGGTCCATTCTTTCACGATGAAGCTCTGGCTTTGGGGCTGTGTTTCTGCCATCATGAGTTCCCATGTTTCCCTTGCCTACTGACAACATTTAGCATTTGTCCACGTAGACTGTGCAGTTGGTGTTTGTGGTTCTGTGGGTCCCGAGTGTCATCTTCATCTGTGATGAAATAGGCAAGTTATGTGTGTGAATGCCAATGAGTCATCCGTACACCCAAGGGACAACACGAGACAATATCTTACACACAAACACAGGCTCACACACAGACTTAGCATTATCTGGTATCCCTCCCAGAAGCAAAATGGTCTCCAACATCTGCCTGTGCGAGGCCCATTTTTCCCTTTGTTTTAGGGAGCCTTCCTTCAGAGGCTTTTGGAATTATTGTTTTAGCTTTATAAAGAAGGCATCCCATTAAGATTGACTGGGGGAGGGCATTTCTGCTAAAAAAGATCAATTTCCCTGTTTCTTAGAATGTAATTACTTATTTCCTTTTTCTCATTGTTTGTTGAACACTATTTATTTGCTTATGCACACATCACTCCCACACTGCCAGTCCTCCGATCGAATGTATTTACTACCTGTCCAATAGCCTCAAATCGACATCTGTCTGCCTGTCTGTCTGTCCGTGAGCACCCATGACACATACCCGCCCCCTCTCTGTGTCTTCCAATAATCTATGTGACTGGCTGCTCCTGACCCCCCGTGACCTCCAGCTGAGAGTCATGACAACGGGACACTGACAAATGTCGGAGCAGATATTGGCTTCCTCAATCTCCTAAGCCTCTCTCTCAGCTAAGAAGCCACCCACACAGTCTGGCCAGACACTGCAGAGCAGAGAAGGGGAGAGAGACAGAGGGCTGTTGTGTATTTGTCTTTCCATCGGCCCGCCTGTCTGTCCACTGCGCTGAACCTGAGGTTATCAAGTAAAAGGGCACTGGACCCACAGAGAGGGGAGGATACACACAGGAAATCTGAGGGGGGAGCATGACAGTTGGAGGCATTTGAATGCTCTCTGCATCATGCTGAAGTGTGTGTAATTAGGAAGGGGATTGCAGTCTACTGATTGAGGGCAGAGGCAGGGCGTGTTGCTGTGTGTTATTTTGGAGCACACTGCGTTAAGCAGAGACTTAAAGGAAGATGTGTTAGACACGAGTGTGTGTACTGAAATAGAAAAAGGAAGGCAGGAAGCATGGCATGCTCGGTTTGGTTGAGTGCATAGTCAGGTTGTCGAGAAGCACCTGAGCTCAGCTTTTGGTTGTTGCTTTGTGGTGCCGGGTCTTGTTGGAAAAGATTCCGGCGGTGGTGGTGGTGGTGAAGTGCGACTTTTTGCGAATGTGTGATGGGATGTGTGAGCGCGTGTGTGCGTTTCCTCCCAGGCCGCTCCACCTCCCCAGCAAACTGCCTCTGCATGCATAATTAACCAGTATGACTGGGGAGGTAAACACACAGGGAGACGTTCTATCCCTGCGCTCCATGTGCCTCCACTTGTGTGTGATTGTACATTTGCATGTGCGTGTTTATTGGTGTCAGACAGAAAAAAGCTTTGAAGCGTAAGTGCATCAGAGACAGAGTTGATGGAAGCAAACTGTCTCTCTGCCTTTTTGTATGTGTGTGTGTGTTGAAAAAGGAGATAAATCCCATCTTAAGCTGCCTCTGAAGATGATGTGATGAAAGAGAGAAAGAGGGGATAAAAAAGAGTGAACGGGGGGAGTGTGACCAGTCACAGTTCTGCGCATTATGAACCATTCAGCGGAACAATCAGATTCAACCCTCTATCCATCCCTTCACTCTTTTACTTCTATTTTTCTCTTCTGATAGTATTTAACCTGGAAAAAGACACATTTTAATGCTTAAGAGGAGACGGAGAACGCTTAAGAGGAGACGGTCCATCTGAGTATGGAGAAGCACAAAAATATTCAAACTATCATCTTTCAACAATAAAGAATAGGGTCAGATGCTTTGTTAAGAAACAGGATGTAACCTTTGTAATCAATCATTTTTCTGGCAGTTCATGTTAGTCTGCAGAGCAGAGCCTTTTGCTAATTAAGGACCCTACCACCTTGAAAACTTGTGCACCACATACAATTTTGCATGCAAAGGGTCCTGTGTGAGTAAAGATTATGTGTGGCGTTAGCAACAGCTCATATTTCCCTGGAGCCTAGGTTGTAAAGCCCACTCGGTAAATCATCTATCCTCCTCTGTCCCCAGCACCCTGTCCCCTTGTGCTTCTCCACATCAAACATATCCTTATATCACTCCTTCCCTGCTGTTGCATCTCAAGCCCTCCATCTTTCCCCCCATACACAGTGTTTCCCCTCTCCATTAGACCCCCAACTCCTTGTTGTCTTTCTTAGCCCACTGCTGTTCTCCTCTCTGTCTTGAAAAAGGGAAATTGGATAAAAAGAGAGAAAGAGAGAAAGATGAAAGCGCAAGGGAAGAGAATGTTTTTTCATACTTGGATAACACTGTGTTGATAGATCCAAAAGGACAGTCAGTTTAGTCGGAAGGAGAACAGAATGAAAGAAAAATGAGGACAACATAAAGAGAAGCACATAAAAGTAAACAGCAAGAGAATTGTAGGTGTCTTGTTGAGTGCATGTGTGTTTGTTGTGGGTGTGTAGATGTGCAAGTGTGAATGAAAGACAGGGAGTGAGCATTATGTGTGTTTGCCTCTCCTCCATCCCTCCTCTGTGCTCCAGCAGCAGCAAAATCAATGCAAACACTACCTAATAGACAGACAAATAGATGGACGGACAAATCAACAGGGAAGATTCGGTGATCTCAGCGTGTACACTTCATACTCTCCTCTCTCTCTGCCCTACTACGCACAGATATAGTGTATCCAAAAATACAGCAGCTGGGCGTTTCAACAATGTGAGGGTTTTTCTGTGGAAGACAACAGTGAAGGGAGGAGGTCCAGCGTGGAGGTGGAGGGGAGACGTGATGTGAATGTCGACAACACCATATGTGTTTAGTGGTAAAGTGAAAAGACTAAAGCAGGGATGAAGTAAATTGATTAGGGAAAAGGTTTATTTGGTTTGTTTGCTTTGTTTTAAGCAAAGGACAATCAATGAAAATCCAATTAACTGTTCCTCTGCGTGGGTTTTTCTGGAAAAGAACAGAAATGACAAACACAGACATTTACAGAGTGAGTGGTCTTAGAGCTCTGGATTCAAAAAGTAGTGTGTTGTATTCCATCTGGTTCTGCGAGCTCGGTTCCCACTCCTTTCCCTCTTCTAGCATCTTACTGGTATTTAGGTCATTGTGTGAACAAGTATCCTCGCATACGCATGCTCTCAGATACACGAGACTCACACATACATGTCTACGTCTATGAAGCAGAAGTTGACTGTAGGCAGAAAAGATAGGAAGGTGGGAGGGGGGGCAAAGAGCCGAAATTCATTCGTTTATTTGTCTGTGAAAGTGAGTGTGTTTGTGTGTAGGTCTGAACTGTACAACACAAATGGGCCTACACACACTTGAAAACTCATGTTTATGCTAACATCCACAAGAATGAATGCAGGGAACACTCACACACTGTTTTTCGTCATCATAGACTTGCACACACTGTGTGTTTCCGAGATTATTGATGCTGCTGTGTGTCTTTTGGGATGCACTGCTTTCCCTGGGGTGGGTTGCATGCTTGGATATTGTATTGAAACTGGCTGACACACACACAAGCTCAGTACTCTGTCTCCAGGTGTCTGTTTTCCTTTTATAGAGCAGGAACACTCCACCCCTCCTCTATTCCTTTTTCTTCTGTGAAAAAGCAGCTCAACGCACACAGACACACACATGCACAGGAAGGAAAAGATTATAGTCTCCACATGCAGACACGCAGTGAAAAAGCTACACTATACACAACAAACAAAAGCTCCCTGTGACACCACTACTGGTGTACTGACAGCACGTACACAGACAACACACTGTAACACTTCCGGTTTTCCTTTGGTGGGAAATGAGTTTGCATCTGATCAAGATATGCTATTTTTTTCTTTGCTAGTTTGAAAGTGATATTGAAATGTCTTAGAGGAGTTTATAAGAATGAGAGAAAAACAAAATGGGCATGATTCTCGTTTAAAGATTAGTTACAAAGAGACAGAGTCATGACCCAACAAACTCTTCAGACCTAAGATTTATGCAGTGGACATCTGGCCATGAACGGAAGCCAGGTTTATGCATCCCACATTTCTACACAAGTACACACATTTGTTTATTCGTGAATAAATAAACTGTTTTCTTAACTTTCCACATAACTGAGACATCACCTATCTTTCAATATTTAACTTGATATATTTGTGGATGAGAATGAGTGTACAAACAATGGAAATCACCCTCAGTTTCCCAAGTGTGAACATTTTACTATGTTTATTTTACTTTGGTGAATGTTAAGATACACACTGAATCTCAAAGCATTAATGCAGGTTTCTTAAACCTCAGTCACAACAGCACTAACAATCATATTTTCTTGTCTTTTTCTCTTGTCTCTCTGTCCCTTCTATCAGAACCCCGACCCCCCCCTTCCCCAATCCCATCTCACCTCACCTCCCCTCCCTGCTCTGGCTATAGACGGAGTGAGTAATGCAGTCCTTCCGTGAGCGCAGCGGTGGTTACCACAGCAACCAACCCTGCTACCAGCAGGAACCCCATGAATTATCCCGCCTGGAGACCTACCGGCAACACCCGCATCATCCCCACCCCCAACATCCGCACCCAGGCCCTGGTCCACATCCAGGCCCAGGCCCAGGGCACACCAGGCCAGGCTATGAGGCCCATTCTTTGGCAAACGCAGCTAACATGCCTCCAGCTGCAGGAGCAGGAATTGGAGGAGGAGCCAAGGACTGTTACAGCCAGCAATCCTATGCTGGTTACCCAGGAAATGGTGGAGGGAATGGGAATGGAAATGGGGGCTCAACACCTTCGCACACAAAGAAATCGTTTAGAGGGAGCAAAGTGCCCCCACCAAGTCCCAGTCAGCACTTACAGGGTCCAGGGGGCTACAGCAACCACATGGGCCCTGGGAATTATTCAGCCCAGTACATGAGTGAGGGTCATCTCCAACAGAAGTGGGACGACCCAGGCCACTTAGCACAGTATGAGCAGGAGATGGTGGGACGTTTGGAGGCTGGCAGCACACCTGCGTCTGGCTCCTCCCAATACATTGACCCAAACATACTGGCACACTCCCAGGCCCAATGCCACCAGTCTTCTGCCCCTAATTATACAAGCCCACACCACCAGCCCCACCCTCCAAATCCAGCACCTTCCCCTCTGATGTATCCCCAAAGTCACCTGCACTACCCACAGCACTCGCCCAGTCCCTCATCGTACATGGAAAAGTGCAGTCCGATGCCACACTGTTTCAAAGGTTACAGTATGCCTCAGAATTCCCAGTATGGCAGGCAAATGAGCAGCCTTGGCAATTTAAAGCAAGGGGGGTACAGGTCAACACAGAATAGTTACGGTTTCCAGCCACCACCTACTAGGGGCTATGAACAGCAGACTTCTTTGCAGACAATGACCAGTCCCCAAGAACCTCATCCTAAATACCAACACTACAACCAACCCCAACAAAACTACTGTCTTTCAGAGCTGCCTGTCAGATCACCAGAACAGTACTATCAGACGTGTAGCCCATCCTCAAGCCACTCTCCTGCACGCTCTGTAGGGCGCTCACCCTCTTATAGCTCCACCCCCTCACCACTAATGACTAATCCAGAATCTTTTCAGTATGCCCAACCACCCATCACACCTGGAGCAGCCTCATCCTCATCATCCTCTTCAGCTGGTATGCAGGAGCAAGCCAGCACCAACACAATGTTGATGCCCCCACGATCCCATCCTTCACCTAATGTACCCCATGGGGCTCCCCACAGCTATACATCCGCACCTCCAGTCCCCACCATGAAAGAACGTTTCTCAGAGAAGCTATTGTCAAATCCCAGCTTGTGGAGTCTGAATGCCCTCACCTCTCAGGTGGAGAATATCTCCAACAATGTCCAACAACTACTGCTTTCAGAGGCACTAGTTGCAAACAAGAAGATTGGCAAGCGCAGCAGTGGCGGTAGCAATAGTAGTGCTGGAAGTGTAGCCTCCTCCAAGAAGGGTGAAGAATACAAAAGTCCTTCATACCCAGATAGCGCTACTAGTGTGGGTGGGGGCCCCATACAGGATCCCTTTTCCACCCCACAGCACCAGTCATTGCCGATGGAACTCCATGAAGGTGGATACTCAAGCAGTAGTGATGAACCACTGGACAGGGGCTACTACTACTTTGGTCAGGGCAGAAGCCCAGCCCAGGCCCACAACAATACACAACTAAGTCTGGAAACAGCCTCCTCCTGCTCCATGGCATCTCCAGACGATATGTCTACCAGATCTGGGGACTCAGGTCTGCATAACCCTACCCCTGACCCTAACAGATGTCAGACAGGCCAGGGAAGAGATGGCATGAGTACTCCAGTGAAGAGTTTTAGTGAAGAGACATCTCCAACAAGTATTAAAATCCCCAGTCCTATGAAGCAGGAACGAGATTCCCCATCAGATATATTAAATATCACTGAACCTGTCAAAGAGAATTTTGAAGAATCAGCCTGGACAGAAAAATCAGGTGACAAAGAGGAGGTAACACCAGAAAAAACATCGGACTGTGAAGGGAATTCAGACTCAAGTCAATTCACAGAGAAGCTAGAGAAATGGTCAGATGAAGAAAAATGCCTGGCTGTGTACAGTAAAGTGAACACAACTGTGACAGAAAAAAGCTATTGCTACGATGACACAGTGTACGAAGAGGTCCAGGGTAAATATGATCCTGATGTAAAAGACCCGGGGGAGCAGTCTCCTGCTGCTTTCTCTAAATCCAGCTGCAAAGATCCCTTTAGTAAAGAAATCAAACCAGAAGCATTCAAATCAGAATCACCAACTACATCTGAAAGCTCCATGAAAACATTGCCTTTCATTTCAAGGAGTGACTTTGAACAGGATCAATATTCCACCGAAAAGGAGGACAGCTCAGAGACCACCTCTCCAGCCCCTCATATTCAAGCAGTGGATGACTGTAACTCAGACAAGAGAGAGAGCAAAGATCTGGAAAATGAAGCAGAGGGAGAAGAGGAGGGGAGAGGACAAGAAAAAACATTTGATGAAGAAGAAAAGCAAATGCAGAAAAAGCAGAGAGGCTCTTTTTCCCCTCTTTCGTCTGGAGAGGTTAGGGAAGAACAAGAGGAAGAAGAAAAAGGGAATCAGTCATTAACTGAGGAGTATGTGAAGAATAGAGATGGCCAAAAGAAGCTTTCAGGAGATACCTGCAACAGAACAGAGAATCAGGGTTCTGAGCTTCACACGGACAATGACTATGCTGGTGTACCTGCCCATCCAAATGCAGCAGCAATAACTGCAACAGCAGATGCTTCTACACGAGAGTCTGCCATTGGTGACACTGCCCCTCAGCCTCAGTCTGCCATGCCAGTCTTCTCTGCTCTAAATGACAAGGCAGCACCTCCAGCTCAGGCTAGAGAACATATTGATCACAGTGACGCTAAAGTCCTGGAGCCTGACTCTCCTCAGCTGCCAGGGAAATCAATACTCCCATCAGCCCCTTCCTGGGCAGACACCCCACCTTCTCCAAAAAAAGGTGATGAGGATATGGAACCAGGTATCAGTTGTGCCAGTGCTGTGACCCCACTGACTAAACCAGAGCCTGTGGCCCCCTCCCCTCAGCCAAGAGCATTTGGACGGAAACATGCAAGGGGCAGAAGAAGAATATTGCCTTCAGGCGTTGGAATGAGGAGACAGCTTGGCATGGAGAGGGAGAGAGAGAAAGAAGAGGAAGGCGTCAACTCACCAACACAAAAAACTATCATGCCTCAAAGCAAGACTATGCTATTGTCAGATCAAACTAACCTTACTCACCATGACTCCATTGTGAACCAGACACCCAAAATGCTGACAGATGGTTTTAGTTCAAGGATGTGCACTCGCTCCTTCAATGCACCGGATATTCCACTCAAAGCTGAGCCTAATGTGAAGAGAAAACCAGGCCCTAAACCTGGTTCAAAGCCTGGGCCAAAACCTGTAGCAAAACTAGGCCCTAAATCAGTAGCAAAGTCAGGGCACAAACCTGCCCTGAAACATGGCCCAAAACCTGGTTCAAAACCCAGTCCAAAACCAGGACATAAGACTGTGCCAAATGAAACCGAACTGCCACAAAAGGTTGAAACTAATGTGAAACGGAAACCAGGGCCAAAACCAGGTTCAAAACCCGGACCTAAGCCTGGATCAAAACTTGGTCAAAAACCAGGCCTAAGGCCAGGTGCAAGACCAGGACAAAAACCCGGAGATGTCTTATCACTTACAGACACTGGACCCATCAAAGTACCAGTGGGTCGCCCCAAAGGCTCAATATCTAAAGTAAAATTAGTGCAACAAGAGGACACTATTCAGTTGAAAGGAATGCAAAGCAGGGCAAGGAAGAGCCTACAAACCCCTCTTACCCAAATAAATCAGGACATAAAATTAATACAAGAGAAGGAACAAGCACAACATGAGGAAAAGGCACCAGAAAAAGATGGCAAAAACATGGTTTTGAGATCTAGAAAGCCCTCACAGGAAAGACTGCTTAAAGAAAAAGAGAAAATCTTAAGACAGGAAATTCAAACTCAGACACTAACAGACACAAAAGCTGTGGATGTTTTTTCAAAGGTACAAGAGCCCATAGCTATGGAACAATTTTTAACTGCTGGCCTTGATGAAGTTAAAACAACAGATGTTTCTGGAGATTCGCAAATATCGCCTGTTCCGCTGGTCCAATCAGAGCAGTCTGAAGAAAATACATCCATTCTACTCAAGAGAAAAGCAAGCCCGAAAATGTATTCAACACCGCTAAAGAAAAAGAGAGGTCCAAAGCCCAAACCAAAAACCTCAGATCCTCAACCCATCCCACTGGAACAAGGTGTCCCCATACCTATAGAAAAAAGTAACAGAACCCCCAAAAGAAGACGGGGACCATCCAAGAAAACTTCTGTGGTCACTCCTGTAACCAAAGACATTCCTACAAGCATCAGTGGGCCTGACATCATCAGCGATGTTCCTGTTGTGGCCCCTCAATGCCCAACTAAGACGAAGGTTCTTCCTCCTCGAAAAGGGAGGGGGCAAAAATATGAGGCCATGGTACAGAAGATCACATCTCCTGGCTCAAAGAAACACCTCCCAATTCCCCAACAAGACAGCAACCTAACTGATGAAGTGACAGCCAAGAATTTGACTGAACTTGTGTCCAAGGAGGGTGAGACATCCATTCAGATAAATAACTCTGAGTTGATAAAGTCTGGAAAAGAGGGAGTTAAACAGCTAGAGGAGGCAGTCAAAAAAGAGGAGAAGATAGAAGAAAAGGACCATGAAGCGAGAATAGACAACTCAACACCAGAGAGTGTGGGGCAAAGTGTAGAATGTGAGGGTGGTAATATGAATGAAACAAGACAGGATAACAGTACACCAGGTACACAGCAGGATGTGGATGAAAAAGTTTTTATTTCAATTGAGACCCCATTAGAGGCTGGGCCTCCAGGTGAGTGGAAACAACAGACATCAGAAAGTATATCTGATGCTGCTTCCACATCCACGAGAACTAAAAGGAAGAGATGGGCTATGGTGGAGAGTACAGATGCCTCCATGGTGGCCCTGGAAGCTGGAAGTCTAATAGTCACAACACCAAGGCTAGCCAAGCAAAGGGCCATAAAAAATAACCATGAAATGCACCTTAAACAGAGGCGGAAGAAGAGGAAAGATCATTCCCCTATAGAGGAGAAAGAATCGGGAGAGGAGGTAAACATTGAAACAGCAGAAAAACAAGAAAGAGTAGAAGAGAAGGTGACCCCTAAAGAGTCCGCAATATCACTGCAAAATAGTCCTGATGAGATTATAGAGTCCCCCCAGGTTGTCGGTACAGATCTTATCCAAAAACCACGTAGAGGCCGAAAACCTTCAACAAATCCAACTAAAAGGAAAAGAAACAAAATATCATCAGAACAGAGTCCTGGCAAACCAGCAAAGATCCACAAAAAACCTGGGCCAAAACCTGGGATGAAAGATGCTATTGAAGTCATTGAGGCAGTAGTAAGGGCAGCTGGATGTGAGCAAGAAAAAAAAGAGGAAAGAGAAAAAGAAGAAAAAGAAAGAAGGGAAAGAGAGTGTACAGAAAAAGAGGAGACATGTATTTTGGGTCCTGTTGTAACAGTAACAGAAAAACAAACTGAAGTCATTTCTGTGAAGAGATTCCGCCGCAAGCCAATCCATCAAAATTCAAAACTGTCTTTCTGTCCTTATGTACGTATTAACAATTCCAGAGACTTTTCCTCTTGGTGCGCAATAGTCAATAAGCCTGAGGATGCAGTGATATTTCAAAGACGTAGAAAAAAGGGCATACTTAGAATGAGGAATCCTTTCACAGTTGCAAAGGTAGTTCCACATACTGCTGCCATGCTGCAAGGGCCCACGGTAAATCAAAAACTAATTGATAAATGTCTGACATGTTGCCTATGTGGAAAGCCAGCAAATTACAAAGACCTCGGTGATTTGTGTGGGCCTTACTACGCAGAGGATAGCATTCCACGGAAAGTTTTGACTATCACACACACAGAATCCTTCAGGGAAGAGCCAGACAAGACCACTGACAACAGTTCTAGCACCACTGAGGAGCCAGGTACTTCCTCAAAGGATGAAGGTGAGACAAATGCAAAAAAAGAGGGAGATACAGAATCACCCTCTCAAGAGACCAGCAGTAGCAGGCACCACCACTGGCGCCACCGACGGGCAGAGAGAGCCGAGAGATTGTGCCGGGAAGGGGGTCCACGAAGATTAACTCTTCGAGAGAGGTTCAAGAGAATAAAGCAGCTCCAGACCATCAGCACCGAGGCCTCGAGGGACCAAGGGGCCAGTGGCAGTATGTTCCAAAGGCTACAAATGGAGGCAGAGGCTAAGGAGCACTGGGCTCATGAAAACTGTGCTATCTGGACCAAGGGGATAATTATGGTGGCTGGAAGGCTATTTGGACTGAGGGAGGCTGCAAGCAACTCAGCCCAAATGGTAAGTTAGGAATTATTACTTCCTAGTCTTTGAATATTCTGAAATGTGTTTAAGAGCGAAAAAGAGAGACGCACTGACTCTTGAATATGCAGCTAACTGATGACATTTCCCATGTTTTTCTCTCTTTGTCCATCTATTGGTCAATGTATTTGTATTTATTCTGGTCTTGCCCCATATGTTCATCTGTCTGACTAACCTCAGAGCTGCTACAAGTGCCAGATTGTGGGGGCGTCCCTCAGCTGCTGTTGGAGAGGCTGCTCTCATAAATACCACTATGTCTGCGCCAAAGAGATAGGTAAGAGACCCCAGCAGGAGAAGAGCAAGAAACAAGGATCGAGAATGCAAGAGAAGCCAAGGAGAGGGAGCAGAAATTACGAGGGTATAAGAAAGTGAGCTGGGGTTGTGAGGGCAATGGGGAGGAAACCAATTAGGACAGTAGAGAAATGAAAAGAGGGGGAAATAAAGAAAGGGGAAGAAAAATGAATGTGGGAAAAATGACAGGGGGAAAAAGCATCAAGAGCAGCATTATTGAGTGAGAGACGATATGTCTGAGAGCGCTGGGGGAGAGCAAAACCGAAAATAGGGAGGGAGCTTTGAATAAAGCGGATGATGAAAGGGGGAGTTTAAAAAAAGGGTAAAGGGAAGAGATAGAGGGAGGAGGTGTGCATTATTGACCACAACCCCTGTGGCTTCATCCATCCATGCTGTTGTTGGGGGACTGAGTGTGTGTGTGTGTGTGTGTGTGTGCATGCATCAACAGTCTGTGCCTAATGCTTGCCTAAATGCTTCCCTGTGAGCATCCTACAACTGTGCGTATACGTCCTCAGTGCTTTGTGTGTGTTCCTGGTTGTTGATGTCAATGAGAGTGAGTGTGTGGGTAACCTCATGCTAAAAGAGGTACAGCGTGAGGATTAGAAGGCCTGCCACGTCTGCCAAGCCAGCACAGAGAGCAGAGCGTGGCTCCTTTTAATCCTGCTGAGTGCACCAACCATATCTGCCTGCCTGCGATGCAACTCATCCACTGTCTGTCCTCTGTTGCAACCTCTCTTTTGCTTTGAGCTCTATTTTACACTTTCCTTGACATTAACATGGGGTTTTGCCATTTCCATGAATGCTCAAGGTTTTTTGTGCACATCCACTTCATGCTTTGTGATTCATTTCAAGTTATCCGTCTGTAGCTAATTATCTCCTGTTTTTCTCTTTCTCTCTCGACCTCTAGGCTGCACATTCCACGAGGATGATTTTTCCATCAAATGTCCAAAACATGAGGTAAGAATACAATAATTTCAACGCATTTCAAAACTTAGATTGTCTACAAAAAACCCTCAAGTTGATAACAGACACAGAATTATTTCCCCCTTTGCTTTAAAAGGACCCCCACTACAAGGAGATAATCATAGGAATATGAAAATCATAAATTTCTCAAATTGTTTTTACATGGACGGCAAATACAGCTCATCTTATCAGTAAAGTTTGATGCCTAAGTCAGAATGCACAAGGTTTTTCTGTTAGGGAACTACACTGTACATTTGGACAGCCGCAGGCCTTACTTCCCATGGCATTTTATTCTCTTGTTTTCCCCATCAGTCATCTTTCACGTCCTAGAAACAGAAAGAAAGAACAAATCTAGATGCCATGAAAGCACTCTGGCAGCATTCAACACAGTTCAAGAGAAAAAAATTGTTTCTGTTTGTGTCAGGCCATGAGAGTCAAAGAAAAAGTGCCCATGTCTCACATCTATAAGAGACAGCATCTCCTCTTGGACTGATTGTTTATATAGTTAAAACGCAGCTTGGTAAACTAAACAATAAAGACATGGCTCTAGCGTTTGCCTTCTTTATTACTGTCAGTCCATATATTAGAATTTGGGACCTCTGCAACTGTGATGGTTCATTGTTTTTTGGGTGATAATGGCTGTTCATTGGTCCGTGTGCAGCTTTCCTGTGGGATAAACACCATCTTGTGGTGATGGATTTGCACTGCAGCACAGAGAGGAAGGTCAAATGCGAGGGGGTGGCGGAGCGTCAGAGCTGCTGACATTCAGCAGAGAGCAGCAGTGCATTGAGGCAGCTGTGGCAGTTGCCTCCCATCCCCCCCCCCACCCCGTCTCTGCATCCCTCTTTTCCTCCCTCCTTCTTTCCCTCTTCCTCTTCCTGTTCTCCTCTGTGCAGACTGACAGGGATGAAAAGCTGGCTGCTGATCAAAACACCCCACCCACCACCACTGCCTGCTATCCTCCCTACATGCTCTCTCCACCATTACCGTCTCTGTCTCTCCACTTCTTCCCCTCATTACTTCCCTTTCCTCTTCTTTTTTTTTCTTGTTCCCCTTATTTTGCCGCTTTGCTCCCCTGCTGCTCCAGCTCCCTCGGTCTCTCACTTTGTTCACCTCTCATCTCCTATGAGCTCCCTTTTCCATTTTCAGTCGTCTTCCCTTAATGCGTCCTCATCCCATTCTCCCACTTTCTTTCTCATCTTCTCTGCTGCTCTCCCCACCTCCCATCACCTCAACTCCCACGTCTAAGCAGCAGAAACAGAGTGTGAGAAACAGAGCAAGTCGGAGAGAGATTGTTGTTAGCAGGCTGAGGCAGAGCTGTCATCAGCTGAGGGATCTAAAGGTCTATGTGTGTGTGTGTGTGTGTGTGTGTGTGTGTGTGTGTGTGTGTGTGT